CTCACCTTGCGTCGTGCTTCAAGCCAACTAAGAAGACACTTCGGAAGCTGACGAGCAGCAGCAATTTCGTGAATAAGAGCAGGCTCGCCATTATCAAAACAATCTGAAAAACGGCGAGGAAAAAATGTAGAAATTAAAGAATGAGCTCTCAATTTAGGATACGTTAAAACGAAACTTCGATTTATACTCATAATAAAAGTATATTACATACGCCTTAACTTTCCAAGAAGACCACTAGCCACAAACCAATGGAGTTTTTCGAAGTATGGAAATAAAAATTTATCTTCGGTTCCAGATTTCCGCTCCATTTGGTAAACTCTAAAAGCATTCATAATAAAAGGAATCATTTAAAAATATTGTTACCCTAGCTGCATTGGAATATGTAAAAGTGTTAGAAAGTTTCCGCCAAAAACAAGACTATCCTTTGGAGTATAAACAGAATGAATCCAGCCAGAAGGTAAAAGTACGGTTTGGCCCGTTGTAATGCGTAACAAATACACAGGAGAAATAGGATAAGATAGATCTTCTAAAAAATAAAAATAGATGGCATACTCTCTCCTGTGGTTATACTTTCTGAAGTGCAGGACTTAGGCAGAACATCAGGAAAGAAGATATCATTTGAATCCCTTTGATGCCAATCCCAGTAACAACGGAGATTTTCAACGCTTGGAGGAACGATATAGAACAGTTTTTCCCCCTAAATTATAAAAGTTTTAAGAGAGAAATACCCAAAGGACATGATACCAGACACACGATCCACTAAAATCAATGTGAAAATCGGTGTAGCTGCCCGACATGCTCATCAAGCAATACTTTTGTACAGAAGGCCTAGAAAAAAATGAAGCTTCTTCTTTTTGAAGATCTTCTTCACATTCATCATCGACAATTGTTTGAGGCCAAAAATTATCAACAAGGCTAATTTCACGTACAACGTGAGGTGGGCTAACTATTTCTGAGAGCTTCGATTTTGAGAATTCCAAGCTCAAAACATTAAGAAGACGCTCTCGCTTCTCTGATAAAAAGTGTTTAATAAAGGTTTTGAGTTGCATCTTTTCCTCCTGCTGAATATTAACATCGATAACATCGATCTCCATATTTGGATCTGCACGATAACATGTCTAATGATTAAACCTGTATAATAAGCGACATCTGCAATCAAAAACGTTGTCGGAGGCATTTTCATTCGTAATCCATCCTTCGAAGGAATTAAAATGGGTTTTTCAAAGCCATTTAATATTAAATCGTGTCCATTCA